GTGAGTCGGGGGTCTGCGGGCTAGCCGCGAGCAAGCGGTGGGTGAGCGTTCGATGCGTACCAGGTGGCTCTGGGCCCTGGGGACACAGCTGTGCAGGCAGGACCAGACGCTGTCCTGCCGACTGCTGAGATCCGTGCTGTCCCTTAGAACCTTCTGGAGGACGGTGGACACGTACCAACCAGGATAGCAGCCACCGTTCAAATGGCGGGGGCCCTGAGTTTGTAGCTTTATGCCATCTTGATCTAAGGGCACTGACCACGTGTGGCCAGGAGCCCCGTGCCCGGCGAGGCTACAGCAGGTTCAGTGGCCCCGGGGGGAACCTGCACAGAACGGGTGCTGGCTGGCCCGCTGGTGCGTTCCGCCTGGATCGCGCGCAGGCCCCGAGCTGAGTGCTGGCAGGGCCCCGGCGGGACCCTTCTGGGAATACATTGAACGAGCAGAGAAACAGGGTGATTGTGGGTTGTGATAAGGAGTGCCGAGAAGACGAAGGATGGGGGTGGGGAGAGGTGTCTGGGGCTGGGAACAGCATGCCTGGCAGAAGGAACAGCCCGAGCAAAGGCCCTGCGGCAGGAACTGGCTGGGCGATCCTCCAGGCCCGCCAAGGAAGCCTGTGCAGCGAGTGCAGGAGGGGTTAGCAGGTGGGGCTCTGTGCCGACGGGAAACAAGACAGCGTAGACTATGGCCCACGCCCCTCCCAGCACCTGCAATGGGGTGGCGGCCGCTCTTCTGTGCAGAGAGAGGGAAATCGAGGCTCTGGCAAGGAGCAGACCCTGCCCTGGGGCTGCAGTGAGCTGGCGCCATCTCCCCTGACCTGTGCCCTCTGCCTGCCCCAGGAAGCCAAAGTGGGAGGAGGAGGAGGAGGAGGAGGAGGAGCTGGAGGAAGAGCTGGACGAGGAGGAGGACGAGGAGGAGGAGGACGAGGAGGAGGACGAGGACGAGGAGGCGGAGGACGAGGACGAGGAGGGGCTGGGGCCCCCGGGCTCTTCCGGCCTGGGTCCCGCGGCTCTCATCCCCCGCAGGGCCCCGCCGTCCCAGGCTTTCCGGGGTGACGGCGGGCCCCGGGTGCTGGGCAGCCAGGAGCGCCCAGGGGCCGGCCTGGCCCACGCTGGAGGGGCCGCCCACGTGGCGCCCCAGCTGCAGCCGCCGGACCACGGGGACTGGACATACGAGGAGCAGTTCAAGCAGGTGGGCCGCGCGTCGTGACGGGGGGCCTCGGGGCAGGCGGCACCCAGCTGCACGCTGGGAGCCCTGCGGAGCGCCAGGCCGAGATGGGGGCCCGTGGGTGGGACCGGCCGGCCGTGGAATGCGCGGATGTGGGGGAGGGAGCAAAGCCAGGAGAGAGAAGCGTGGGGGCTGCTCGGGCACGGAGTGTGTACCAGGAGGACCCGCAGAGAGACAGCAAGGAAAGGGGCCCAGGCAGAGGCCACGCGACCCGACCGGGCTCGGCCTGGGTTGTGCGTTCGGGGTGAGGCCCAGCGGGTGGACGTGTGGGCAGAGAGGTGGGGGCTGGGGCATACGGGCCGGAGGCCTTGCCGGTCAGCGTGGAGTCTGGCGTGTCGAGGCCACAGCCGTTGGTTGAGCCGGGGGTGGCCACGTCGCTGTGGACTGCAGAGCGGCTCCCTGGGGCTACAGAGGGGCGGGGAGGAAGCAGGGCCGTCCTGGTGCCTTCCCTGCGGGCGGCCGGGGCAGAGGAAGTGGCCGGGCGGGGGACCCTTTGAAGTTGGGCCGAGCTGGGCTGGGCAGATGGAAACCAGATGGCGTCCGGCCGGGCTCACATTCCAGTCCGTGGCCAGCTGGGCCCTGCCCCGACCTCCAGGAGTGGCCGGCGGGGGACCTGGCGTTCCCCGGCCCAGGGCCTGAGCCTCGAAGGGCTCCACTGGACAGGCCAGCGTGTGAGAGCTGGGAGGTGGCTACGAGTGGCCTCCCAGAATTGGCTGTGGGCCCCTCTTGGCGGAGCTCTGGAGGAATGGACCAGGAACTGGCCTCCGGGGACAAGGGCATGGGCTCCAGCCTCTCTTGGGGAAGAGCGGTGTGCATCCTGCAGTCCTCTGAGACCTGCCTCAGGCAGAGACAGGACCCGTGAAGTAGAGGACCTGAGATCGGACACGTGCTGAGGGGGACAGGCCAGGAGCTATGAGGAGGGGAGGGGTGTAGAGGGGGGACGGTGCCCCCCACACCCCCTTCCTGCTGGAGGCTCCACCCCTGCGTGTGGACGCGAGCCTGCTCCCTGCCTCAGTGTCTCTCCCCTTCAGAAGGAGACACCAGCGGGCTGGGTTCCTGCCTGTCCCATTTTGCAGATGGGAAAACTGAGCCACAGTGTTGCTCTTAACGTCCTCTGGGTCCAAAATAACACAGATGGGCACAGTGTGGGCAAGTTATATTTATTTGTTCACGGAATATTTACAGAGAGCTCCAGGCTCGGGGGCTGGAGAGCTGGATAGATGCACCCAGCATTATAGGGTCATGGCCAGGCCCAAAGGGAGACTCAAGGCCACACAGTCCTTGTGAGGTCAGAGTTTGACAGGACCCCTAACCTCCCACCCCTGCTCAGTGGCCT